TTGCTCTTTCCAAGTGCTATGAACTCTCTAATTTTCCGCTTTTACCAATTGGGTCATTGCTTTTTTCTTTTTCTTTTTTCAGGCACGCAATCAAAGACATGGTGGTGCGCGGCGCACCCGCCATTGCCATTGCCGCGGCTCTCTCTTTGGCCGTGGAAATTTTTAACTTGGAGGATTTCAATGGAACGCCTGACGAAGCGTTTTCTTTCATTGTCATGAAATTGGAGTACCTTGTCTCCAGGTTAAGCATGTCAATTGTAGTTTTCAAGTGTTTGAGTTGTGGTGTTGAGATGTCATTGTGATTGTGTGGTGTGTTTTTCAGCCGACCAACTGCTGTCAATCTTTCGGATGCTGCAGCTAAACTAAAGCAAATTGCATCCGCGGTTGCCACTACTACTTCGGACGCAAGGAATGTGTTTGAGGTGCTCTTTCCTTTGAAACATTACTTTCCTTGTGATATGGTTTTGGCCCTAAGAATCTTTTTGATAATGCTAATCTTCCATTGTACTTGCTTTGTTTGTTCACTTTTATAGGCTTACATAGAAGCTTCTGAAATCATGCTCAAGGACGATGTCGCCTCAAACAAGGCTATTGGATCTCATGGAGCAAGTTTTATTCAGAACCTACTGGGAAACTCTAAGAACATTTCTATGTTGACCCATTGCAACACTGGCAGGTATTTTTCCCGGGAACGCATACTTGATGATTTAGTCATTTGCATTATGTGGTTGCCCCTATGGGTTTGTCGTTTGTGTAGGTTGCTCATGTGCCACTTGTGAAGGGTGGTTTTATATTTGGGTAATGCTAGGGAGACTAAATTTAGAGACAAAATTTGCAACTAAATGAGGTGTCACCAATAAGAATGAGTACGTTTATCAACGCTTAAGTAATAAACCAATCATCAACTTCCACATCCTTTAGTTTCCAACATTTTGTCTCCCTAGCATTACCCTTTATTTTTATAGACTGAAATTTTTATATTGGCCTTGTCTGACCCTGATATGTTTTGTAAATGTAGTCTTGCAACAGCTGGTTATGGTACTGCCTCGGTGTCATCCGTTCACTTCATACTGAAGGAGTGTTAGAAAGGGCCTATTGTACAGAGACACGCCCATTCAACCAAGTGAGTGTCTACTCTGTAGTTGTTTAAGCTTTTTCTTAGCAGCAAACGTCCTCCACAGAATTTTTCGTGATATTCACATATGTTGATATTAGTTAAAAAAAAGTGGTCTCGAGAGGAGTAGCATGCTGTTTGAAGTTGCGTGAAAGTATCATTGGGGATATACTATTGCATCCAAACTTGATGGGAAGCCTGCCTTGGTGTTATTTATATTTTGTCTGTGGTGTGAACTTCAGGTCATTGAGATGATTGTTGTAGTTAGCCACTCACTTGGGTAAAAGTATTCAAATGCGTTGATGAGTATTATTGATACAATATTATATACCGACTGCAGGGATCCAGACTCACAGCATTTGAGTTGGTGCATGATAACATACCTGCTACTCTTATAGCAGACTCGGCTGCAGCTGCATTAATGAAATTTGCACGTGTGAATGCTGTAGTTGTTGGAGCATATCGCGTGGCTGCAAATGGTATTTGAAATGAAATCTACCACTCATCTGCTTTAGCATTCTATTAATACGGATTTTTGTCTAATTGATTTCCTTTTTACTTAATTCAGGTGACACTGCGAACAAGATTGGGACCTACAATCTTGCCGTGAGTGCAAAGCACCATAACATTCCATTTTTTGTGGCTGCACCACTCACTTCCGTCGACTTATCTCTTTCTTCTGGAGAAGAGATAATAATAGAGGAAAGATCTCCAAAGGAATTGTTGAACACACACGGAGGACTCGGGGAACAAGTTGCTGCATTCGGAATCTCTGTCTGGAACCCGGCTTTCGATGTTACCCCTGCCAATTTAATAACCGGTATCATAACCGAGAAGGTATTCTCACTCATTCTTTATGTGGTATAATCAACTAGAGCTTGTTGTGTTTGAATCTGATGGCAATTTGTTCTCTAAGCAGGGCGTTATTACAAAAAAGGGCACTGACGCTTTCGACATAAAGGGTTTTGTTCAGAAGGAAGCCGTGCAGGCCAGTGCATAAAACGAAGGCTTCCAGCATTGGATGAAATATACCCGGAGGAGGTGATTGTTCGTGCCGTGTAACTTAATATGAAGAGTGCTATATATGTCAAATAATTGGGAGAATCAGTCTTACCCCAAGTGATGACTGTTTTCCCAAAATGTAAGCAGGCCATTTTTATGGTATTATTGGTCGATGTATTAAGTACAAATTTAATAATAAATAAGGAAGTAGCTGGGAAGATTTGGAGGAAAATTCATAGTCTTGTTGGAATCTTGGGACTTCATCCATGGAATGTGAGTGTTCTCTCTCGATTCGTCCTCGGCTGACCGGAAAGTTTATGCTAATATGCATGGGCTTCGAATGGGATGTTTGTAGGGCATTCATAATTTCATCAGTCAAAAGTTTCCAGGGATTAATGGCCAACCCTAAATGTGGAAGTGGTCACATTTTTGTTACATAAGTTGACTAAAATGATTAAAGGGTGAACAAAATGTAAACAAATTGACGCTCACACCGGACTTGGGAGTGTAAGACCATATAATATAGAGGGTACCTATTTTTATTTCTTGCAAACCTTTCTCAATTTTCAGTCGTCAAATTGAATGAATTCAAAATGATCAATGACAAAAAATTAACACGAATATGTGAGAAGTAAAAATAAATGAGTGAATAACATTATGTTAAGTGTGCTGTGTAGTGCCATTTGGGACAAAAAAAAGCAATATTTCTTCCAAGCGAAATGTTATAAGCTGACAGAATTGACTACATTGCCTTGAACTGTCTTTTTTGGCAGCACAAGGCCCGGAACAGCCGAATGCCTCAAATTTTTTTTAATGCATGGGTTCCACTACCAAGCAATAAGATGAAAATTAAAATCATTTTTAATTATTATTTAGTAGTTATTGTAGTTTTGAGTAGACCTGTAAACGAATTGGTTTTATTAGGTTTGAGTCGGGTTTAATTCAACCCGTTAATTTAACGGGTAACCCGAGCCCAACCCGTTAACATTTTTTTCGACAAAGAAGAATCTAGGAACCGGAAACTTCTCTGCTTGCCGAGAATATCTTAGCATGGGCAACTCCGTTCGAAATCTAAATCTGCAGTCAAAGGAAGAACTAAAGTCTTCCCCTGCCGATGCAGAGCAGGTCTGGCCATTGTCCTATTTTTATATCTGTTTGATGATTTCGACTTGTTCCGTTTTATATGGTAGTTTATTTCCATTGAAAAATGTTAGTAGAAAATCATTGAAAAATGAGTAGTAATCTGTCTCTCTTACCTCAGACCAAGTCGCTGGAAGATTACTACAGAAAACAGAACAAACGCATCGATTTTCAGGTCCAGGCCGCACCTGGAGAAACCTGGTAGGGGTTGTTGGCTGCGTTACATCTTCAGCATATAAATGCTGTCAATTCTTCCCAGAAGCTCACTATGAGGGGAAGTTTAGGGTTTCTTTGGCGACTGGAGGAGGCTGGTTTTGGTGTCGGAGGTGGGGATGGTGGTGGTGAGGAGGCTTGTGGGGCGGAGGAAGGGGGGAGTAAAGAGGCTTAGGAAGTCGGTGTAGAAGAGAAAGAGTGGTAGGACTATTGAAATTACACAAAACTCCTCACTAACGGGTGGTTAACAGGTTTTGCGGGTTCACCTAAAATGACCCGTTATGTAACGGATTGACCCGTTAACCATCCGACCCGTTTATCACTCACCCGAGTACTAATTTTAACTGGTCGGGTCGGGTCGGGTTGAAAATGCCATATCTAGTCCTGAGGCCCAATATATTATTAAAATAAATATTTGATACATCCATTAGATGGAAGAAAATTTTCCATCTATAATAATTGGTCACATCAGCTATCATATAAAATTTTGAGAATAATTATTTGACATGTCCATTGGAGATAATCTAAGAAGAGATACATTAGTTACTTAAGGTACAAGTAAGGGCGGAACCACTTTCAACCTAGTCCAAGTACTTGGACAAACAAATTTAGTCAACCACCCACACATAATGACTAGAGGAAAAGAACATTATAGCCGTCGATTTGAAACTTTTTGATTCCGCCTTGAATACAAATCCCATGTAAGTCTAAGGTGAAACTAGGTTAAGATTCACGTCATTCAGTAATTAACGTGACATGAGTGTAAATGACTAATTTTGGGTCATATTGAAACTGTTAATAGGTTGTTAATTGGCCCCAAACTCCGGTTCGGCCCAACAATCAGGCCCATACTATCGACCTCTTTGTCTCTCTCCTCCCACTAAAATTTCGCTTCACGAGTCACGACCAGCTTCTTTTGTAATCCGTGAATTACAGAGAAAGATTCTTCATTTGATACAAGAATCCAAGCAATTGGCTTTTCCAAAGGTTAACGGCTAGCAGCTCCTCGGCTTTCAATTGGGTGGTGTTTGGATACGCGAATAACCGAGCAATTGAAAGAAAAAATATGAAGAAATCGCCATTGCTGTTGCAGAATGCAAGCGGCAGCAGCAAGAATCAGAGTCTGGGAGAGGAAGCTCTGGTGAAGTTGTTGACAGAATAAGATGTAGCATCTTACCTACCTGCAAATAAATTTCCAAAACACTCAAATTGTAGCTTGAAAATCAAAAGGAATCATCTGCGGAGCGACCCAAATCGATAGGAAAAGTTTACTCAAACTTACAGATTGATTCTTGCTTTATGTCTTTTGCAATTTTTATGATTTAAATTAAAAATCGGTTAAATTCGAGGAAAACGTGGTAGAAGAAAACTGTTAACGTTACCTGGTTGTGAGGCTTTTAAAATAAAAAATAAATATAAATTTGTTTATGCGAAATTACTTTAGTATAATATCAAAAAATGACAATAATTTTTTTTTTTATTTTATTTTTTAGTACACCGACAACAAACTTTAAATTGCCTCAGACAACAGTGATGCAAAATGTAATTGCCAAATAAAACACACACACACACACAGAGATAATGTAAGGATCAAATACAACATACATATATACATAGGTGCAAGTGTATACACACACACAGAGCTTGTAAGGCTTTGATATCATGCTTGACAACATATATCAAGCTTTATTTTAATCAGAATGCTAATTGATCATCCATCAGATAGACTTTGGAACCCAGACAATATGATCATTGGTAAGGAAATGGCAAATGGGAACGGTTCCGGGCTTAACTTTGAGCACTTGGAAGGCCAAATGCTTAGGGTTCCATTCGGATGTATCGATATGGCAGACTGCTACTGCTTTAGCTTTCACCCCATCGGCACCAACAAGGGGCACTATATAAGCTCTTGTTTGTTTTATTGCATGACAGTAAAACACAGCGTAAGGATAGTTCTGCTTGTGACACATGACGGCTTTTTCGCCTTCCAACTTCTTCACTCCAGGCATTATTGTGTACTTGTGCATAAATATGGTGGCTTCTTTTTCCTCCTCTGTCGATACCAAGGCTTCAACACTTGTTCCAAGCTTGGAAGTGGTGAAATCAATCATTGATTCTAAAGACGTTGCGCAATATTTTTCCTCTCCCTTAATGCCTGGCGCTTCACACTCCTGGATTGTTTCCTTGATTGTGTTAGCTTCCACAGATGATGGTTCCAGTGAGAAGTGCTTAAGGATTTCTGGGAGTTTGGTAGATGAGAAGGCGATCGATTCGGCAGTTCTGCGCGGCAGGAAAGTGGCTGTGTTTGTATTTCTAGCGTAGGGCCAGTTCATTGTTGTGCCAGGACGTATGTTCTTTTCCAAGAAGACAAGAGCTGCCGCGTTGGGGTCTTCACGGAATTGATGGTTCTCTGCTGCATAGGCATACATTTTCTTGGCATCTGGGTTCTCTACTTCAGCTGGGGTGCTCTTATCTTCAATAATGAATTCTGCAAATGAATGTAGCTATGTCATAATGGATTTGAATATATAATTGATCTCTATTAATTTGTCACATTTGTAATTAAGTTACTGTTTAATATTAAAAATGTAAATCTATCCCCAAAAAGGAAGAAGATGTAAAGTGTAATTTACCAACTCTATAGAGAATTCCTGTAACACAAACCAAGATAAATAAGTGAAAGAACATGAAAAAATAAAATATTCTCTCCACTTGTATTATGACATGTGCAGTACTGAAATTTCACCAATATATAGAGTTTGTCTTATTGTTTTAACCATAAAGAGCATGTGGTCTATTGGTGAGGAGAGCTTGCCAATTTTTAAGGAATGATGGATTTGAAACATGTTGTGCCAACAACCCTTCTGTATTTTTTAAACTCAACCTTATAACTAGCCCTCTGTTTTATCTTATAAAATCCAATTCATTTTTCTAGTTACTTCATATAAAGCAATGCGTATAAAATTTAGAAGAAGATCCAATCATGTTGAAATGAAAATTTCATAAGAATAGTTTTGATGCTTAACCTTAAATTTTTGTTTAAGCCTTAATCCTTTTTTTATTATTTTTTTTATTTTTATCAAAACTCATAGAGAAGTTCTATTCTTTTGACATAATCTTTTCAATACCGAAATTTTCATACAAATTTTAAGTCTTCATGTATCACATTTGTTTGATTAAAATTTTCCATGTCAATAAAAAAACATTTAGCTTTTCTCCAACTAATTATATTGCTATATTTTATTTAATTTCTTTTATACGACTAAAAGGCCCCTGCCATAATTGATTTCTAGCTCCGCCTACCGCTTAATACCTGATACTTAGAAAATTCTCTACCCATATAACCCTTTGCTTGATTTTAGGGTTTATATGGTTTTGGGCCCAACAAGCAAGGTTCCATCTCACCATCTTAATTTTCAACTAACAATGTGCTTTAAATATTGGAGTTGGAATAAAATATTTAAACTAACAAGTTTCAGTCTAATAATTGGGTTTGATCAGTGGGCTACCAGAGCGTGTAGAGCCCGTATTGTTCTACTCCGAGGAAACTAAATTAATTATAATTCAAAATTAAATTACTTTGATAAAGGGATCAATAAGGTAGTAGGTAGAGGAGAAGCTCTCTTGCTAATTAAGATATTAAAGATTCTTAATACAAACCAGCTGGTTGGAGAAGTTCACTGATAGCTTTGGGCATTTGAGTGTTGGGTAGGACGGAGTTCCAGTAAAGTTGAGCTACTGGAAGAGCAGCATGGCTTGCCAATGCCACCACTGCCAGCTGCAACATTAATTTGAAGTCTTATAAGCATGTTTGAGATCACAAAATGCAAGAGTGATTAACTTGTAGACAATGTTTTACTAATTAAAATCAGAGTTAATTAATTAAATAAACAAACACAATATTTTCCAGGTACATTGTTATACTGGAAACATCAATTATTTCAGAGAGCTTACAGTGAGAAGAGCGAAGATGTACCCGAGATGGAACCCCATTAAGACTGAAATTTTGCAACAGAAAACTGAGAGCCAGTGGATCGTATACTGGCTTCATTATTATATAAACTGTTGTGAATAATATGTGGATGGCCCACATGAATAATTGTTTACTATTTATTCACATTATTTTCACTATTTATTTGTGGAAAATTTGTAAAGTGAATAGTGTTCTCTTTGTTTTTAAAATTAATGAGAGGTGAAGAAGAGGTGAGACTCACGGAGAGATAGGAAGGAAGAAAGGATGAGAGGAAAAGAAAGGATGAGGGAAAAGAGAGGAAGAGGAGATGAGATAATATAGAGAGTTATCTTTGTACTCTTATTATTCCAAATTATAATGAAAGCATCACTGTTGCCCCGAGGATGTACTCCAGTCACACTGACTGTAGAGGAACCTCGTAAATCTTGTGTCTTGTTTCATTTATTCCACTGCATCCACCGTTGATTTTACAACACGTTGTCAGCACGAGAAGCTCTCATGTCAGTGGAAAACACTATCTACCTCTCACCTCCGTCAGCTAAAATCTCACAGAACAAAAGGTATGTCCATTTTCTATCTTCCCTTCGCGCCTGAAGCGCCCCACCGAATTCCGGTGCGAATTGAAATTTATAACGACCTGAAGTCGTCACGAGATGAGAAAACTTGTACTTGACAACTGGTTTCTAGAGATCCAGAAGAATCTCATTAGACTTGGAAACCCAGATCACATCGTTTTCGACGGATCTCGAGAACTCCCATGAATACTTGATTGTCTGAGATGGTGATGACAAGAATGAATCCACATTAGCCTCCCTCTCTTGTGCCTCCATCAACCTCGCTGTCATCTTTGTCTTTTTATGGAAGTTCTTGCTTCTCGATGCCATGTTCCCTGGGTCATGCAAGAACAAAGCCAATCTCTAGTAGCCTTTTTGGACTGAATTAGTTTTGTGTGACCTCCACAACAACCCAGCTGGTCCTGGGTTCCGAGACTGGTAGAGACAGACAAAGAAAAAAAAAGGAAGTTTATGGAATATGTATGGCACCATTTGAAAAAGAAAGAAACAAAAGGTTTTCGTGCCTGATGCATCTGCACCATCTAGATAATAAAATAAAAGGAATAAAACCAAAAGTTTTTTTAATAGTACAACATGTGAATGAATAAGAAGAAATAAAAAAACAAAAAGGGGACATAAAGGTTGTTGTGATGGCATCAAATTTCGAACACATTCGTAAATGGAATTGTCAAACTCCAACAACCACAACATTACAAGCTCTTTACTGCAATTTATTTATGTGAATGGTGTTGGTTTAAAATCCTTTCACAAGTTCTATTTACTTTAAAGCAATTTATTTATCATGGACGGTTTTACCACCTACTGCTTTAAGTTTTGATTTATGTGAATGGTGTTGGTTTAAAATCATTTCACAAGTTCTATTTACTTTAAAGCAATTTATTTACCATGGACGGTTTTACCGCCTACTGCTTTAAATTTTGATTTATATGAATGGTGCTGAATTAAAGCTCTTGTCACAAACTTTATTTACTTAAATGCAATTTATTTACTATAGCTGGAATTACCGTCTATTACTTTAATTTATTTATTATACTTATTTTTGTTACGATAAGTACATACTGAACCTGAAGTCCTTGATCAGATCAGAACCTGTAGTTTCTTGATCCTCATCATATAAAATGATTAGACCCGAAGTTCCATCATACAAAAAGATCAGGCATGAAGTCTCTTGATCCCGAAGATCGGGACATGAAATTCCTTGATGAGTACTGTAAGTTGAAGTGCCGCAATGCCTCAACTTAATTGTAATAAAAGCCATAAAAGTCTCAGTCTACAGACTATTTAATAAGGACAAGAAGTTCCTTATGTCTATACTCAAAATGGTTTAGCAGAAGCATTTATTAAGCGGATGAAATTGATTACTCACGCTTTGCTCATGAAAACAAAATTGCCAGTTTTGACATGGGGACATGTCATTTTACATAATTCACTATTAAGTTTGGTTGAGACCAGTTACCCAACATCGATATTTCTCAGTACAACTCGTGTTTAGGCACCAGCTAAACATTATACATTTACGAGTTTTTGGTTGTGTTATCTATGTGCTTGTAAGACTGCCACAATGTACTAAAATAAGGCATCAATACAAACTGGGAATCTATGGTGAATTCGATCCACCATTTATCATTCAACATTTGGAACCCTTGACTGGGGATATATTTACCGCATGATTTGCGGACTATGATTTTGATAAGACATTTTTCCTACCATTAGGGGGAGAAAGTAACATTGTTCCAGAAGAACGATGAGAAAATATCATTCCAGAAGAATGATAAGAAAAGATCGTTCCAGAAGAACGAAGAGAATTTGTCTTATTTTGATTCACAAAGCAATCAATATGAAAATGAAGTAAGAATAATTGAATGATGCAACGAAAGTGATGAAATCATATATACTTGCTGCAAATGTGCCTACAAGAATTGATGTCCCTGTTAGACAAAATAATATGGCAGTAAATGATTTATCTGTTGCACGCCTGAAGCGTGGCAGACCCTTAGGCTAAAAAGGTTCATTCATTCGAAAGAAGAAGAATATGGCACAACTAAACTATTGCATTCCCAAAGCATAACTGTTGCATGCTAGAAACATGACAATCGCCGCATGAATATACGTCCCAGAAAGGACAATCCGTAGACAAGGGAATGTTGATGTCTCATGCATGGAGCATGATAGACATATAGGTTCCAATGACTCAACTCCTGGAAGTGGAGATTAAAATCCAAGCTCTATAACGCTCTAGAAGAGGTTATGATCCGCATTCTCTAAATTACGACTATCCTAGAAGAGATAAATACCTTTGAAGAGGTAATGGATATCCAAAGAAATAAAAAGCTTTTATGCATGCGCATGCACATGAGAATATGGGATCACGGATTGATGATAACCAATGATAATTTTGGTTTCTACAAGTAGCTACTAAATTCATCAATGAGCTATGTTGATATTGAGTCTCATTCTTTTTTGTCAACAAAATTATTGGCCAAAATGGAGAAAAGCAATTCCATTACAATTTTGTAAGAACATGGAAAAATGGACCTATATATTTTAATATAATACAAATAGCCAAAAGATGTTGAACGAATGAGGTTACATTGGGCATTTGTAATATAGTGAAATACACTCACATGATATGACACAAGGTTGTAAACGAGTTCATATGAATGGAGAATTATATACGAAGGGTTGTGAGTCGCCCACATCATATCTCCATAAGTAAATCCCTCAAGTATACATGGGAGCAAACTGCTCTGTATAAATTCCAAAGGAAAATGTGTCATGAACTGTAGAAAATCCCTGAAAGATTCAAATTGCTTGAAGTAAGCCCCCGAAAGGTAAAACATAAATTATGTACTCAATACCAATGGATGATATAAATTACCTTAGTGAGTACTATCATTATGATATTGTTGCAACATACTAAAATCTCTTGCAAGAGTCAATGACATTAAATTAGAACTCCTGAAGAGTTGATGATATTAAATTGGGACTCCTAAAGAGTCAAGAAAGATTATAAAGTGTTGAGAGAAATATTGTCTCAAGCTGCAGATCAAACAATCTACCAACACGAATCTTATCCATAACGTCTATGATATTAAAAGAATCATATGGATCGAAGATTATGAGTTGAATACTCAAATGATGTAGACACTAAGAAAGATCATTTATCTTCGTGAGGGTAAAGATAAATTAATGTTTAGTCCAGAAGTACCACATCTTAGTGAAGTATATGCTTTATTGTATTTAGCACAATACACTGAATGAAATAAAGCTTATCTATTAATATCTCCGAGAAATTATAGATATGTACATACACATGAGTTAAAACAAACAAACAGGATAGAGCATTCACAAAGGTTGTTCATGTGAAGCCTCAGTACTCGGAAGTACCCAGAAGGGGGAGGCACTGGAGATTGATCATGTGGCACCCTAATACTTGGCAAAACACCAAAAGGGGAAGGCATCAGTTGCTTTCGAAATCTAGCAACGAACCTCTGGTGATCACTTTGAATCCGACTTTCGGATTCTTGCATCTAGTCGAGCTTTCTTTTCATGCTCGTAGAGTAATTATTTGCAAGCACGTGTAACACTCTATTCTCGTGCTTGAGCCCTCTGATCTCTTGTTTAAGACTTGCCATCTCAGCCATTAATGATTCAACTTGGCAAATTTGAGCAAGTAGACGTTGGCCCATATTGGAAACAGAGCCAGCACATTGAATACTGAGAGCCAAGAAGTCTTGAACGGCCAACTCGTCAAACCGTTTTGAAAGGATTCTGTTATCCTTTGGAGTAAGAAGATTTCTAGTTACCACAGTAGCGGTTATGTTATTCTTCATCACAGAGTCCCCAACCGTAAGATGACCATTAGAAGATAAGAAGGACAGGTGCTATATATTATCCTGACGCTGCTCGTCTGTATCACTCCTAAGACTCAAATCTAAGCAAATATTAGATGGGTAAGTTATTTTCAGAAATGATGAAGGAAAAATGAGGTCAAGTAAAATTTCAGAAGTGCAAGAAAGAGGAAATTTCTAGAGGCAGCAACTTTCTGAGCATACTCTCAAACACAATTGATGTCTCTATAAAAGAAGAGGCAACAGAGCCACTCGTTCAGAGATTGAAGAGGCACCGCTCTCCGAATTTCAAAAGCCAGATTTTCCTGAATAAAGTTCGTTGGTATTTTCAGACGTAATCTCAGTTTTTTTGGATATCGAAGATCTCTAACAAAATTGAAAACGCGTAAATCTTACTGTTCTAATTACACCATGGTTGCTGACAAGAGTAAAGGCATAGCATCACTCCTTGCTATTGAAAAATCTCTATATAAGTCAACCTCCGTTCTCCATAATAAGGCAAACTTGCAAGAATACCTAACTCTTCCTCATCTCCGAGAATGCATCTTCAACAAAGCATCTCGAAATACTAAGTTTTCTTCCTCTCCAAGAATACCTCTTTAAAACAAGTCACACCAGAGCAAGATTATCTCATATCATCAGGGACGAGGACAAGATTA